ACACACACACACACACACACACACACACACACACACCTGTTTTCCCTAGCAATGTCTTAAACATGATTTAGAAATGAATACTATCTTATATGCAGTATAAATCAAATCCAGACCACAAAGAGAGCTTCTGAGATACTGGCAATGTTCTGTTTCTTGATTGCGGTACTGATTACGCAGATGTGCTCAATGAGAGAAAAATTCATTAATCCATATACTTATGATCTGTGCAGTTTTCTAATTGGATATTGTACTTCAATAAAAAATTGAAAACCTACTTTAAATGAAACCAGGGTACCCTCCTCAACCCTTATGCCTACCCAAAATGGGTAAAGATTTGTGATTCCCTCTACCTATTGCTGTCCCCACCAAAATATCCTCCCCACAACTCATTTCATTTTTGAAGTCATGGTTGTGATTATTTTACATAACTAATTACCTTGTTTTTACCCCCAGTCCTTTTTCTGAAAAAGCTTACTTACGCATGTGTATCAGTGTTGTGTTTCCCTTTCCCCATGTTGGCTGTAAACAGCAGGGGAGGGATCTGATTCTAGGTAATAATATCATATATGAAATAGGTGTTTAACAACTGGCTTATCAGAATATTTTTAAACAGTAAATCTTAATTTATTTAAATTAAATTTCATAAGATTTTGCTTGTTTTGAACCAGTGATTAAAGTGTCTTTGTCTTCTTAGGAAATGCTTCAAGTGCTTTTAATTTTCCAATGCCATTTTTTTTTCTTTCAAAGCTGCTTTGATTCTTTTATCTTTCACTTTGACTCTGTCTGTCTAAGCCCTTTCCATTGGAGAAGCTCAAAGCATTTACATGTAGGCCCATCTCCACAGTTCTCCTGACACTCCCTGGAGTGGACAGCTGCCATTATGGCCGAAGAAGCTCGGTGCACAAAATTCTTCTAGGTCCCTGAGACAAGAAAAGAGCTAGCTGAAGGAAGAGCAAAACTCAGACATCAGAGATGAAAGCTACTCAAATGCAATTTATTTTTAACCAGCAATCTGACCTCTCCTCCCCAAATGTTTACTCTCCAAGTCTCTTTAACTACCTGTCTCTAATCAGTTACACATCATCCCAGGCTCAACCTAGGAATAAAACCTATTTCATGTACTTACCTTACTTAATTTTCCTTTTTAAAGCATGACTTGGGATATACTTCAATTGTTTCAAGAAGTCCAAAGCTATCCAGCATATTAAAACCATTTGTAAAATGTTTGAGAAGTGCCTAACAAGGTAAAAAGACCCCACTATCTTTCTAAAACATAGTTCAGACAAGATCCAGATGTCCTACCTTTGGCACCCAGGGCCAAATATACTGGCTAGATCATTATTTTATCCCCCAAATGGTTGTTATTGGGAAACATTTTCACTTTGGCATTTATTCTTTGCACCCGAATCTGTAAAATTCTCTAGAAAGAAATGACTGAGAGAATTACTCCTCTAATAAACTAGAAGGTACCTTTTTAAAATCTAGCATTACTAAACCTTCTTTGGTAATGCAGTTTCTTGCTAATAACTTTTCTTTTTTTCTCCATATATGTAAAATAGGTGCTTTTATTAACTACTGGCATTGCCAAAGTATTAGCAGTTATCATATTTGGGAGGAGATAAATATTTTTCTTTTATCACTCTAAACAATTTTTGGTATATGTGCTGCTGAAGCGAGCACTCACTCAAAAATTTATAGCTCATGTTTGTTATTGCAAACAGTCCTATTTCTCTGATTGAGGCTCTTCGGATTTATTATTGATGGAAAGGAACTAAGGTCTCCTTATAAAAGTGCATTACGCACCTTGATGAAACACCTAAGTTCCACTGTATTTTTTCCAATGGAATCTGTAACAGCAAAGTGATAGTTAAAGACACATTGATTCCCCTAAAGCAGTTTAACTTATTTTTGTATAAAGATTCAAGAGGCACCAAAGAAAACCCAATAATTATGATAAAGGTGAAGTAATCAGATGATAGAAAATCTTCAAATAATATTGTATGATATACCCGAGAATAACTTGAAACGTATGATATTTCATAAGACTATCAAACTAAGGTTTGATTCCAGAATAAAAATACAGCTAAAATTTTTAAAAGTTAAGCAACTTCATCTGAATGAAGAAACCATTTTACCCAGTATAATATAGATATCACGTAGTAACTTCACTTATATTAATTTTTAGAGTGCACATGTAGCTACTATGGAAAGGTATGGATCTCCCTTCAGAAGCTCTTAAGGAGAGGAAATGAACCTAATGGTTTCCTGAGGTTTTCTTCATCCCTATGATTTTGCTAAATAACAAACTTTGCTTGAAAGCTACCATGTTTCATTTCCAGGCATTTGTGGATGGCAGGAATGGGCACAGGGGTTTCTTTCTAGGGTAATGAAAAACTTCCGACATTTGATAGTGATTACACAATGTTGGAATATACTCAATTCTGCCCTTCAAAGATGTGGGTTTTATGGCATGTGAATTATAGCTCAATAATTTTTTTAAAGAATGTGATGTCTCCATTTTAGCTGATATTAAAATATGAACCCATCTTAAAATATTCTCTTGCATAGGAGAGCTCTAAGTGTTTTACCATTATAATAAAACAAATCTCTGTTTTGTTGTCTCTAGCACAATGTATATAGCATAGCAATAGCATTTTAAGCAATTTGTTTCGGAAAATATTTAAATTAAGAACATTTATAGGTAATTTATAAGAGTGACAAGAATGTTAGAAAATTTGAAATGCTTGTAGCTTGCAGTAAAATAAATTACCACTGGCTTTCATTTTATGTCTTTACATTTGGTATCCAACAATTGCTGTCAATGAAAGCTTTATATTCATAGATGGCAATACTTCAATTCCAGGTAGGAATCTCAATCTCAGATAAAGAACAATATCCTATGGGGTCATTAAAATAGCCACAGAAAACCTCCTGTTTAATCTGGTGGTGCATATTTACCTCCCAATATTCTCAATACTCATAGAAATTTTACTTCAATACACATGAATACACACACACACACACACACACACACACACACACACACACCCCACACACATTTTTTCCAATCTCCAGAGATCATTTATTCAAGATTCAAAGTAGTTTGAAAGATTAATCCTGCAGTCTTCCACACATAAAGAGACACTGTCAGATATCTACTACTTTAAGTTTCATCCTCCCAAATTGACTAAAATGATTTTTTTAACTTCTCCAAGGATATTTTGTGGTTATTTTATACTTGTTATTTTCCTGCAGTACAAAAGACAAAATATCTACTGCACTTTCCATTCATAACTTAAAAATGGATTAATTTGGGTATGAAATTACCTCTTCCCAGAAATGGAACTATAAAATAAAAAAAAATTGCATTAAGTTTGTACATAACATATACATGAACACACACATATAGATGAACATGTTAATTAAACGATATAAGAATACATACAAGACTTTCATCTCATCATGTTTAAATAATAATAATAAAGGAAATTACACAGGTGCCAACTAATATATAATACATGGACTCCTGTGTCTCTGTAGTCCTCTGGCTTTAAAAAAACAAAGAAATACTCCATTCCAGTTACATATTAAGGCTTTAACAGCGTCTAGACAGGTAGAGAGAGAGTGACATTTTAGGAGGTAGCACAAAATGTGGGGTTTCCGCGGAGACACTGCACGTTTTCTTTCTATCTACAGGAAAACTCAGATATGAAAAGACTGAGACTCTTCTGGTTGGGCTAAGAAGACCTCTGGCTTTTTCCAAGTCAGACGATGAAGCGGGGAGTTGAAGGAAAATACCCAGCCAAGAGAAGAAATTAAGAATGTCAACCAAGATGGAAAAACCTTCCACTCAACCAACCCTTCCTCTCCCCCAGTGTCTACAAGCCAAGACTCCCGGAGCGCCCGGGAGGACCAAGGCTAGCGCTGTCCGCGGTGCTGAACAGCCGGCCGAGCCCACTCACCGGCCACCACTGCCGCTGCCAGGAGGCCTAGCAACACGGCCGGCTGCATGGCCCCGCTCTCCCGAATCTGCGCGGAGAAGAGGATGGCGACTGGACCGGTGAGTGGGATGCGGGCGGAAGGCGAGATAAAGATGCTCCGGGAAAGCAGCTGTGCGTCCAGGTCCCCGCGGTGTGGCGCGGTTGGCGCAGGCCCCGCTCTTTTAAAGGGCAAGCCAGGGCCGCAGGGCCGGGAGGGGCGGGAATCCAGAAGGCTGCGCCCCCTCCGCTCAGCGCTGACGTCAGGAGGCGGCCCCGGGGCCCGCGGCGCAAGTGGGAGGAAATCTACGCCAGTCCAGTCTCCCGGGTGCTCTAGGTCTGGAGCGGGTGTGGGAGTGAGGCGGACGTCGGAATGAAAGTTTGAGGGGAGGCAGTGCAAATCTGACGCGAGGGGAGAGGCAGAGGTCCCGCATAGATTGCCCCAGCTTGTTCCTCATCTCGCTCCACGCCACCTTCAATGAGGCTGTGTATCGTGTGCAGTTTTGTTGAGAGTGTATCTAGGACTAAGTCTGGTTTGTGTCGCCACTACCCAGCGAAGTATCAATAAGACTCCTGCTAACTAGAGAGTACTAAACGGTGGGGGGACATGGAAGGAGCAATGATGGCTTTAAAAATAAAAGGTGCAGAGGGAGAATATGGAACCTGCTGTTCTTTAAAAATTTTAGTCTTAAATCTATCTACCCATTTTTCTATCTATCCGTATCTGTCTACCTTTCTGCCTACCTACCTATGTACTATTTGTGATTATCTCTCTCTCTGAACACATAACATACACACACAGTGAAAAAAATTTTAAGTCACATGGCACAAAAGAGTTTACTAGAAACATCTCCCTTCTACTTCTATTTCCCCGCATTCCTAATTAACCCCCTGCAGAGTCTACTCTACCTAACCACTTTCTGTTGTTTAGGCTTAATTTATTTTGGAGCATATATAGCTACATCTTCTTTCAGATGGCGGCACTATATTACATTGACTGTATTAACTGGAGTTTATTTAACCAGTTCCCTTTCTGATGGGCATTCATTTAGGTTATTACCCTTTGGCCTTTAATTACTCCTTTACAACAGAGCCCTAGTGTCAGGGGCAGGTCATGTAATAACCTGCTTGTAGAATCTAGTACATCTCATAAGCACTGTTCATCCTCTCTGGCTGTAAAATTGAAATAGGAAGGCATTCTGTTTTATGTGAGAGGAAGGTGAAAACATCTTCCAGGATATTTTTAATGTGACTTCTCTCAATCTAATGAGGAATCAGGAAAAAGAAGCAGGCATATGGGCACCAAAGAGAAACAGCTCAGAATCTTCTCTGATAACACAGGCTTTGAGGAATAGAGTGAACCATCATGTGGGGTCTTTTTTAGAGAAGGCAGATGTCTGCATGTACAACTAAAAGGAAGTTTCAGTGTCTTTTTCCTGAAAATCAATGAGGCTCAAATTCTTTATGCATGCACTACATCTTCCTGAAAAGGCTGGGAATGATTTCCCCAGGACCAAAGCTGCAGGATATTTAAGAGAATAGTCTTAAAAAGGATATTAGTGGAGCAGTTGGTAAAATTTGAATAAGATCTGTAGATTTCATGATAAATATTGTATCATTACAATACAATGCAGTGTTAATTTCCTGATCTTGAGAATTGTTCTTGTGATTATGTAAGAGAATGACTTTGTTTTTAGGAAAGGCATGTTGAAGTAGCTAGAGATAAAAGGGTGTCATATATACAACTTACACCCAAATGTTTTAGAAAAATATAGAGTTAGAGAAAGGAAAAGAAAGAAAGAATACTAAGGCAAGCAGGGCAACATTTGGGAAATTGGGGTGAAAGGTATATGGGAATTTTTAATACTATTTTTGCATTTTTCTGAAATCTGATATTATTTTCAAACAAACAGAAAAGAATATTCTTGGCACAAAAGAGTCTTATAAAACCTCTGTAAAGAAGTGGGTACAGAAAAAGAAGGTGTTGAGTAAAGGCCTTTCTTTGAGTGCTGATCTGGGGGAAATTCTTCTACTATTATTGAAATTATATAAGGGTTCCAACTGCTGTTAAAATGCACTGATTGCCAATAGTACTTAAACATTGCCACCTTCCAGGAGCATCTACATTCCAGTATTTCATCAATTTCCCTTTTATCTTGCTTTCTCATAAAGTACAGGGTTAAAAATATTAATGTCATCTTGTGGCTTCTCAGACAGGGCTTGGGCTGAGTTTATTACTCATCAAGAAAAGTCTTTTCATTATTGTGAATTGGCCCACAGCCAGTTCCTATATTCAGATTTACCTTTCTTTGTTCTCATTATTTGACAAACTTTTTATTATTTTGCCTTTCACATTTAGATCTCGATGTACTAAGAAAAAAAAACCATTTGGCAGGAGCGTTTCTAAGGAATTCTTTCAAAGCAGGATGACAGAGGAAAACATATTTTCCTTAGGTACCAGGGTTACAATAAACATGGAATGAGATAGGGGTACAGTCACACTTTTTACCGCTTTGCCACTTAATTGTTCTGAGAATTTTTTTACTGTCCATCCTTACCCACCTGCTGTTTAGTGTCACTGAACACACACACACACACACACACACACACACACACACACACACAACAACAACAACAACAACAACCCTAGAGTTCATCATCTCATTGGTCTATTTGTTTATGCTTGGAGAAGTATCACACTTTCTCTATCACCACAGCTTTTTAAGAAGTCTTAATATCTGGTGGAAAAGGTCTTCCCACCCTGTTTTTCTTCAAGAGAGTATCTGTTATTCTTGGCCTTCTGCATTTTCATATAAATTTTAGAATCAGTTTTCTGTCAATTGCATGAGAAAAATCTGTTAGGATTTTGATAGGAATTGCATCAAATCTATGGATCAATTTGGGAGCAGCTGACATCTTTACCATATTGGGCAGACTTAGCTTTTTGATTACTGATAATGTTCTGGATATAATCTTATCTCAAGTAGTATAAATACTATTACCACAGGAAAAGAAAAGAACCCATGGGGAAGAGCATTTCTCAGGAATGCTCTCGAAGAAAAATAAGGGGGAAATATATATCTTTTAGGAACCAGTGTCTAGAATAAACCATGGTTTTATACATGGCTTCTGAAATAGGTTATCCATCAGGGTCCATCCAGTAAAAAGAAATGACTGGAAGGAATTTATTTTGTTTATTTTTTTAAAGAAAGAGAGAGAGAGAGAGAGAGAATATGTGCACAGGGTGGGCAGGGGAGGGAGGAAGAGAGAGAGAAAGAGAGAGTATCTTAAGCAGGCTCCATGCCCAATGTGGAACCCACGTGGGGCTCAATCTCACTACCCTGAGATTATGACCTAAGCGGAAATCAAGAGCCAGATACTTAACCAACTGAGCCACCCAGGTACCCCTAGAAGGAATTTAATAAAGGAAATAATACACAGGAATTTAAAAAGCTGAAATAGCAAATAGGGAAAGAAGAGGAAACCCAAAGATTGGTAAATACAGGCAGCTGCTACACCCCTCGGGAATGGAAGGATAAAAAAGAATGTGTCCACATTGGAGCCCAGAAACATGAATCACTTGGTAAGAATGGAAAGTTCTACAGGCTAGGAAGGCAGAATTTGAGCCATGGAGGAAGGGTTGTCTGGTAAGAACTAGACCCACAGAAGAGAAGCAGCCTCTGCTACCCATGCATCCCCCTCTTCCAGTAGAGAGAAAGGGGGAGAACTATTTTGGCTTCTCTTTTCTTTCAGTGTATATGCCTCTTAGTGGCTGAACATACCTGGGTATGACTGACAGGGAAGCCTGAGCAACATAATTTTCAAGGAACAGTCCCTCTAGTGATACAGAACAGAGCATGGAATCAGAAAGCAGACAGACAAATGAATGGCATATAGGTCAAAACCACCTATAAATTCAGTGACTGTACTGCTGAATTTATGTTTTCCCTCAAAACTCATCAATTAATTTCATTTGTGCATATATATGCTTACTACATGTCAAGCCCTGTGGTACATGCATATTACTTCGGCTATAACAAATTATGTGGTCAATCCCAACATTAATGGCAAAAGGAGATATATTCCATCCGCTCTAGCAGAGTTCACCAGGCAGTCAGGGAGAAAAGGTGGGAGAGGTGCAGGGTAGACTCCAGGACTGCGGAGGAGGGTGAGAGAGCATGACATGCCAGGAAAATGGCACTACCATGGAGACTGCTGCCTTGCAAATGTACCTCTCTAGAATTCTGAGATTTCCCCCAGACTCCCAGATCCCTCCGAGGTATGTGTTCCACACAGGCCCTGAGAGTTTCCTGGTGGGACTCAGCTTTAGTTACCCACAGTGGAAACTTTCTTGATAGCAAGCTCTTTACAGCTCTCTTTCCTTCCCTGTTTTGCTTCTTGTCACTGTTTCCCGGAATTATCTCCAAAATAAATTATTTCCAGTCATATTTTTGTTTCAGGGTCAACTTTTGGAGGAAATTGAATGACGACGCATATATTCACAAACCCATTGCAGGCTGTTTAATAGAATTTTTCTTAGTATGTCCAACTCTTGGTTAAAGCCTCAGAGTGAGGGAACATGGATTTTAAGTGCTCCCATGATCCAAAGAGAAGAGTCAGGCACCTCACTATGAGATTCACTAACACAGGCACAGTGAAGTGGCACAGTGACTGTCACAACGTCTGTCTGAGGGAGAACTAGAAATGCAAGAGGGACTGGTTGGAGAAGGAATCTATTTGCAACGGAGCCCTGTACTGTGTTATGATGGTTCTTCCTACCTTAGCCAGGTGAAAGGCCCCTAGAGAATAGTTCACAAAAAATGGGGCTGTCTGAAGGAAGAGAGATGGCATCTCATTTCCTGGCTGGATGCTTACTGAGCTGCAGCTATAATGCTACTAGAGGAGAGTGGGAAGGGACCATAGGGCAATTTTAAATGAGAGTTCAAGAGTTAAGTGAAGATGGAGGCAGTGGGAGGTCAGCTGGAGCAGCTTGCAGTGGCAGGTCGGGGAGGACAGTGGTTGGAGCATCTGCATATCTAGAGCTCTTCCCTGGCAAGTGGACTGCATGCACCCGAAAAGGCCCCTGCTTGCTGGAGCAAGGGAACTCCAGGGATGTACTGATTATGGTAGCTGAGAGGTGTTGTAAAAGGCCAGACAGGGAGCATCACCTCCGTCAGGAATTGGTGGAGTGAGGAGGTTGCCATGAGGACTCCAAAGAATTGATAAAGGTCTCTAATGAAAGGGCAAGGCAGCATCTGGACATCCTCTGGGGAACTACAGAGGACACTGGCAACCTCTGATCCCTT